TAGGGTATAGTTACAAGAATAGTTATAAGGGGATAGTGTTAAGGATATAGTTATAAGGGTATAGTTATAAGGATAGTTATAAGGATAGTTATAAGGGGATAGTGTTAAGGAGATAGTATTAAGGATATAGTTGTAAGGGTATAGTTATAAGGTTATACTGTTAATGACATAGTTATAAGGGCATAGTTATAAGGGTATAGTTATATGGTTATAGTTATAAGGTTATAGTTACAAGGTTAGTGTTAAGGACACAGTAATATAGATATAGTTATAGGGATAGTTCTACGGGTATAGTGTTAAGGATATAGTTATAAGAATTTAGGTATAAGGGTACATGTGTAGGAAGAAAAGCATTTAAGTAATGAGACACCTTGTACCCGGGACAGAACCATTTTTGTCAATCAAGCAAAAATGGTGTCATCAATTTCCTGCAGAACCTTCTTCGTCAGAAAATCAAGAATGGTTTCGTGAGTTTTCTACAGAATCGTCTTTCGGGCAGAACCTTTTCTAGAGGTTCTGTGGAGTACCCACTAGCAGAACCCAGAAAAAGGTTCTGCAAAACTCCTTTTTTTTAGAGAGTATGCATCAAAAATGATGTACTAGAGAAATCAACGAACAATTGGCAATATTTGAGCAAAAATATAATATTTTTTCGTTTGATTAAATGAAAAATGTATTTCTTTTACTTCTGTACTCAGGTCGACAGTTTCTTTTTATTTCCTTTATTTTCTTTATCAATAGTTATGTGTTTAATACACATTTTAAAATTTCTTCATTTTCATTGTTTTATTGACAACTTTTCTGCTTTTATTGGGCTTCTGTTGTTAAAAGAGCTCATTTTACAACGGTTTCCTGTAACATTGTTTCTTGGTCAAATATTATTGATAGTCATACTCATAAACGACGTTTCAATCGGATATTGTTGCCCAGAATTTTTTACAAAGTCAGACAAATGTATTTTGACAATAAGCACAAATCTCCTCTATAAAAGCTGGTTTAAAAAAAAGAAAATACAAAAATTGTTTTTTGTTTATGACGCATTGGATTGTTATGATTTAAATATCACAGTTCACACATCCAATAATCCATTCTTTCATGATCCATTTTATCTGTTGTACATGCTGGCGGCGTCCACAGGTATTCGTAAATGATTGGGATACCATGATGTCTCAATTTGCTCACTTGGTTGCCACATCGCTCTCGTAAATCGCTAGAAGGTGGATGAGCAGACCAGAATGGTGAATGATGGAGAAAATATCCAAAAGTAGCTTCCGAGAATGCTGCATAAGAGCGTGTATTAATTATGTGCAAGTGGAATGCCTTGTCTATTTCGTTGGGTGGTCCACAATCAGTCCCGAGATTATATCAGATACCAGTATAGAAATTTTCCAATTCATAGACAATTTCTTGAGCACGGTCCGTTGAAATATCGTTGTGTGTTGTTGTAAGCATTTCGATCAGATACGTTCGATCAATATCAGAAAGAATAACTCTTTGCACAGCAACAGTAAACACTATTAACAATAGAGAAGAAATCAGGAAGATTAAAACCATGCTTGGTAGTTGAGACAAACTGGGCGAGCAATGACAAATGAATGCATAGAAAACATTGTTAATATACAGCGTGTTGATTACTTCTTCCTCTTTTTCTTAATTTAGATTTTGTTCTTTTCTCTATTTGCAACGTGGTAACATAGCATTGGACTATATCACTGCAAGTAAAAAAGCAAGGTTCGGTTTTTAACCATTCATCTGTGAAAAAGTGACAGTACAGTAGTACTATTCAATATGGAAAAGAAATAAAAGGAGGCACCACATTACTATGGAGGATTGATAATGACTTTTGTAGAATTTAAAGAAACATACTTCTGAATGACAGAATTATCACCTATCACAAAATATCAACTCTAATATGATTTATTCCAACTTATTTTGATAGTATATGGTATATTGATATTAGAAAATTTTCTGCTCCATGAAGTGATTAGCAAAGACGCATAAACTGGTGCGACGTGGAGTCTACACACCATTTCTGATTTTCTCTTTTCCTGTTTCAAACCTATAATATCACAATCATTAAACATGTCGAGTTCTCCTACCTATTACATCATCTTAATGTAGTTCAGAGTGACATACAAGCGGATTATCATCGTTCAACCATATATTAGTTGACTAGTTTACAACAACAAAGTATAAAAGTTCTATTACGTAAAAGTACAATGACGATACATTTTTCGGCAAAGTATCGTAAAGGAAAGATAAGATTTGTAATTAAATCTTGAGCAAAAAAAGGAATATAATAGGATCAAGATATCAAAATGTGACATTTCTAGTCTACGATCTTAAAATAATAACGTATAGGGTGGGCCTAGGGCCGGGTATGGGTGTTGATGTGGGTACTTCAGTTACTTCACACCCACACCCTGTAGGATTAGATCAGAGAAAATATTCATTTTTCAAAAGAGACGAGAAAAATGAATCTATGCCAACGAAATAAAACAGTTGAAATAACTCATGTATATTTCATGTTCTAATAATGCCGCAAATAAATTATAAGATTATTTTGAAAAAATTGAATGAAGAATAGTTATCTCAACACAATACAATGCATACCATTTTCCTATCGAGCAGGTTAAGAAACTACGAAAGAAACTGAATAAGAAATTTGATCAACTCGTTGATGAGTAAAATGAACAATGCTGTCAGAAGTGTTTAGATTTAATGTTTATATAATTTGTTAATTCAAATGGTTCAGTCATCGTATGCAATATCTACCTTACTATATGATTTAATTGGTTTTTTTATCTTTGTTGGTACACTTTGCTATGCAAATAAATAACTTTTCTTTCTTTCTTGTTCTCGAAAGGTCAAGTCATAGACATGTTATATGGCACTGATAAAAGTCCTGTTAGTTCGATGAGATTTGGCTGAAACTTCATGAAACTATATCTGTCTCACATAACAAAGACCTTACCAATTAATTTTGTCAAAACAAATCAGAATATTTATTTCTTATTTTCTCTTTCCTCACAACAAATTAGGATATTAAATTTAAACAAAGTAACTCTGTCGTATTCAAAAGCCTTTGATGAATTGTTTTGAAAGTGATTTTGATCAATAATTAGATTTAAGAAAGTTGAGTGTCTGAAAAGAAGATTCATCTTTAAATATGATTTTATAATCAGTCTTGAAGATAGATTCGTATACTCATTTGCTTGTGAACTGATTTACATGACATATAAACATAATAAATTAAGTTCATGTTTTATTTACACAACAATTTTTTGATTTTAGAGTATGTATCAATGTACGAACACAATTAAAGAAAGATTTCTCTTGACTGTCATAGTTATTAAATAAAGAAAAACTGTGTGACTTTGGAAAAGCTTTTATCGATATTTTTTATCTTTCGGACCGAATTGGTTCTTAAATTTGTCGACTTTAGGTCGTTTTGGTAGCGTATTGAACAGTCATGAACGAGCTGACTTCGCTTCATTCATATATCGGCTTTTATCATCAGTTATCAATGACAGTCCACCGTGAAGACGTGTTGAGAGATAATAGTGTTGATGATCCCTTTCGAGTGTTGGATGAATGGCTAAGTATAAGTAATCATCTATGCTAGCGCAGTTTTCTTTGTTTTCCATAGGTTGTTTTAAAAATTGGATAATACTAGACTTTCCTGTATCCGTTGTGCCGATGAACAGTAAAATCGAAGGTGCATGAACGATCCTTAATATCATTCTCTCTTATTGATCGGTAAGAACCTCTCCAAACAAAGGTATTTTCAAAGTTTTCAGGAATAGGTTGGCCACTATTGTGCAGATACACTCAAAAGTCGATAGCTTTGTTTTGAGCAATTTCCTCAAGACTAGGAAATTGAAGTTGTTTTTCAGAAAATGAAGATAGACAACATTCATTCACTACTATTAAAGTATGGTGACGAAATCGTGAACTAAAGAGAGTTGCATGCGAAAAAATAATCATAAGTAGAGAGAACACACTTTCCACTTAATCGACATCCTGTAAATCATATTTTTTATCGCTACGAGCTATAATGAATTCCGCAGCCGTATCTCGTGCTTCGGAGATATTTTTCACTTGATGATATTTAGCATGACTTGGTTCGAAATAATTAGCAAAATGACTTGATAGAAATGAATATTTGTCTCTTAAACAAGGAGTAGGAAATGAATTCATATGAAGATAATGTATGAGTTAAAGTATTTCCAATATATTTTCATCTTCAGGTAATTCATGAAATAGTATATACGGTTGTTCAGATGTGACTGAATGAAGAATAGCCATGAACGAAGTATAATTAATTGGAGGTTTTAATATATATTCACCATTTTGGTTTGGAATTGATGAAAAATCATTTTTATTTGCTATAAGAGCAGATAAATAAGCAATACGATCAATTTGTTGTAGAGTGAGATGAACATGTTCATCAGAATTGTCAAAACGAAATTTATATATATATGTTCTATATTTGAATGAATTGTTTCAAATGCACTTTCCATTGTTTGCAACGTTAATTTCGCCAAATGATCAACTTTATTCTCACTGCTGACAATATTTACTGCACAGACAACAAGATAAAACGAATGTTTACTGCCTTTTCGCTTGTAAAACAATGAATCATATAAACATTTTTATTTTTTCTATGCTAAGTATCCTTATCGACTACAGCTTATCAACAAAACGGTTAAACTAGGAAAAAATCCATCGGTGTGCGCTGTTTTGTTAAGCAAAAATGTTAAGAGAAAAAGAATTTCGTGAAGCATGTAAATTTGAAAAGAGACCCTTCAAATAAAAACTCGCACTTAAATAACAGCCTTTACTGTTGCCCAAATCGAACAAGCACGCTCAGAAAC